GGCTTACTCAAACGAGACGCGTGGTGTGGTAGGTACCATCAATCATCCGTCAAGGTGATGCAAAGTATAAACCATATTCAACTCAGATTTCATGCATTTTGTTTTACTACTGCTTGTGTGGATATGATAAATACTCTTATAATTGGAGCTTTTTCATGGTTTATAGTTTATACAAGCAGTATTCAATCTCCTTTGAAGAAAGTTTGTATTTTCATTAACTTTATTTTCTAAATTTAAGAGTAAATTAGATAAGGAAATCAAAATAAAATAAGCCAAAATAATGTCTCTATCCACACTGCTTTTGCTTGTTTCTCTGGGTTTTTTCCAAACGCACAACCAGTCCAAGCGAAATATTCCCTACTTCTACCCACCTTCCTCTGCCTTACGTTTCTTGTGCTTCCACGTTCCTTCTTTGGTCATTTGGAAACTTCATAATTGGCACTACAGGCCAAAATTTTAAACACTAATTGACTCTTTCTAACTCTCATAAGATCAATTTGAGAACGATGTATTTGTCTTTGGTCATGTCTTATATATGGGTTGTATGCCTGCTGATTATATTGTAAAGCAGTTTTTTTTTTTTTTTTTTTTTTTTTTTCTGAGAAGTAGAAAATTATGGGTGTTGTTCTAAATGCAGATAGAATTACAGAACAAAATGCAAGAGTTGGACATAACTAAAAGAATCAACAAGTTATCCCAAACATGAATATTAAAATTCCATATCTCGATGAGTTCTACGCTTTAAATTTTGCGTTGAAACTAAAGGGTTGTTCTGAAAGGAAATCATGTACTAACAAAATATTTTCTACTTGAATGAATTTGTAAAGAGCAAAACCTTGAACAAATATGCCTGAAACAACAATCAAATTCACAAGAGACACAAACAATTTTACGTGGAAAAACCTCTTCGATGTGAAGAAATTAAAAAACAATAGGATCGAATGATCCACTTAAATCCATCATAATAAAAAGTGTTTACAACAGTCACAAATCACCAATGATTTTTCACACAAAATTAAGAGTTTTATCACAACTCTAACAAAGTGAAATACACAAAAGAGTTACGAAAACATGGAGAAGAATCACCGATAAAGCACCTGAAATGCAAGTTGTATAACTTCAAATCAGCCGTTAAAATTGAAAATCAACCGTTCAGATTGAAGAGCCAAACGTGCTCTGCATTCTGACCAAAAATCAGGTTGATCAGACTAGAGATCACCTTCCGATCATCCGGTTGAAGAGATGGATTGAAAATTCTGCAACTCAATTCTTTGATTTGATTGTCTTTTAAGAGGTAAAACTCCACAAAAAAGATGGTTATCAAGAAACTAACCATTAGATGTGAAGATCTTGCCATTAATAATAATGCTCTAAAATTTAAGAAAAAACATAGCAAGATTCACCAGATCGTCGCCGGTATAAACTAGTGTGGTTGCCTCTTTCTCACTTTTGCAGTCTTGGTTGCTGTGAATTTTACTGTTTACCCACTCAAAAAAGGAAAAAAAAAAAAAAAAAGCCTTTTTTCTCTTTTATTTTTGAACTGTAGGATTTTGGGCCATCCTCCGCATGAGAAAACCCAAGCCCAACATGCTCTATTTAGACAAGAAAATTTAATTCCCTCTTTCTTTTTGAGCTAGCGGGAGTACTAAAATCTGTTCTCAAGTCAAAGGCTGTACCTCGTAATGCTGCAGGTCACTTGAATCTAGTAAAGTCAATTATCTTAAGCGCGTTTTAAATGAATTGTTTATACCATTTGCCTCCCCTGAGTGAACCTTAATTCGAATCCCCAGAATCTCTCTAACCATTTCTCAAAATTTTAAGCATATTTCTAATGATTTCCCTCGCAGTTTTCCATTAAGGTGTTTAATTATTTGGTATTTGAAGATATCGATATGAAGAAATCCTAGCCTCAGTATTTGATACACTCAAACAGTCAGAGTGCGATTTATCTGAGTAAAAACTCAGTCTATCATGAAAGGACCAAGCATGTAGATGTTAGGTTTCACTTTGTAAGAGATTTGGTTGCCCAATGAGTAGTTGAATTGAAGAAAGTACCCATTAAAGGAAATCCAGCTGATATAGGGACAAAGATCATCACACCAACAAAGTTCAAGCACTGTTTGAAGTTGCTATCAATGGAGTAAACAAACATGATCTGGAGCTATGAGGGATATGGCTTAGAGTAAACTGCACTACTGGGACTTTCAAGTCTTCAAGGTGGAGATTGTTGAAGTGAAGATTGAAACGATATTGCTTTGGGGATTAATGAAACATTGCGTTTTGAGACAACATGAGTTAGATCCTGATCGTCGAACAAATTCATATAGTTAGATCCTAATCGTCGAACAAATTCATATCTAACGGCTGAGGATTGTCAAAGGGGTCAACGGTATATAAGTGTATGAATATAGTTAGAATCCTCACTTTTACACTCAGGTTGTCATCTCTACTAAAATAAATTCAGTTTGCTCTCATTTTAGGGATTTATTCAAGTTCTTGAAATCTTAGTAACTTGGGTTGATTGGTTAAGTGGTTAGTCAATCAGAAGAGTCTTTGCTCTTGTGCTTAGAGATTCCTGGTGAGTTTCTCTAGGGTTAATTACTGGGAGATTTTCGTGTAATTTGGTGAGGGTTTGATCTTGGTTTGTACTTGTTCTTGTTTGGACCTTGTTCTAATAAGTAGTACAGTGAGCTTTTCCATTTTCGGAGCTCAACGTGGACGTAATTTATTTAATCTAGATAAGTAAACCACGATAAAACTCATATTGTGATTGTTCTTGATTTCTTGTGTTCGCATGTTCAGTGTTTATTTGCGTTAATCGGTTTGTTACAACAAATAATATTCAGGATTTTTGTCTTTTTGGAAATTTCCAGTCTTGGAGTCTGAAAGTATAAATTGTGGACTTGAGATTGGCTCACGGATTTGACTTGTCGAGCTCGCCTTCGTCAACAATTAATGTAGAATGTGAACGTCTACATTTAAAACACTTCCACTTTTTATTTTTATTTTTTACATGCATTAAATTCTAAAAGTCTTCAAATATTCTTTTGCATATACAAGGAAAAATGACTTTAAAACCGCATCAAAAACACACACCATAATAAAGCAAAAAAGTAAAAAACAATTAGCAGTTCACTCTTAAATAATTAGCAATTCACTGTTAATTAGCAATTCACTCTTACTCTCTATTTTTCTCAAACTTTAGGTTTTGCATTATTATAAAATACATATAATAAAAAACTTAACCCCATTTGGGTTTACCCAATCTAACCCGACTCAGGCCCAAATATTTGCAAATCAATTCTAAACTCAATTATTAATTGGGCTTACTCAAACGAGGACCCCGTGTATGTCAGCGTAAATTAATAATCCGTCAAAGTGATGCAAAGTATAAACCATATTCAACTCAGATTTCATGCATTTTGTTTTACTACTGCTTGTGTGGATATGATAAATACTCTTATAATTGGAGCTCTTTCATGGTTTATAGTTTTATACAAGCAGTATTCAATCTGCTTGAAGAAAGTTTGTATTTTCATTAACTTTATTTTCTAAATTTAAGAGTAAATTAGATATGGAAATCAAAATAAAATAAGCCAAAATAATGTCTCTATCCACACTGCTTTTGCTTGTTTCTCTGGGTTTTTTCCAAACGCACAACCAGTCCAAGCGAAATATTCCCTACTTCTACCCACCTTCCTCTGCCTTGCGTTTCTTGTGCTTCCACGTTCCTTCTTTGGTCATTTGGAAACTTCATAATTGGCTTTACAGGCCAAAATTTTAAACATTAATTGACTCTTTCTAACTCTCATAAGATCAATTTGAGAACGATATATTTGTCTTTGGTCATGTCTTATATATGGGTTGTATGCCTGCTGATTATATTGTAAAGCAGTTTTTTTTCTGAGAAGTAGAAAATTATGGGTGTTGTTCTAAATGCAGATAGAATTGCAGAACAAAATGCAAGAGTTGGACATAATTAAAAGAATCAACAAGTTATCCCAAACATGAATATTAAAATTCCATATCTTGATGAATTGTACGCTTTAAATTTTGCGTTGAAACTAAAGGGATGCTCTGAAAGGAAATCATGTACTAACAAAATATTTTCTACTTGGATGAATTTGTAAAGAGCAAAACTTTGAACAAATATGCCTGAAACAACAATCAAATTCACAAAAGACAAACAATTTTACGTGAAAAAACCTCTTCGATGTGAAGAAATTAAAAACCAATAGGATCGAATGATCTACTTAAATCCATCATAATAAAAAGTGTTTACAACAGTCACAAATCACCAATGATTTTCCACACAAAGTTAAGAGCTTTATCACAACTCTAACAAAGTGAAATACACAAAAGAGTTACGAAAATATGAAGAAAAATCACCGATAAAACACCTGAAATGCAAGTTGTATAACTTCAAATCAGCCGTTAAAATCGAAAACCAACCGTTCAGATTGAAGACCCAAACGTGCTCTGTATTCTGACCAAAAATCAGGTTGATCAGACTAGAGATTACCTTCCGATTGTCCGGTTGAAGAGATGGATTGAAAATTCTGTAACTCAATTCTTTGATTTGACTGTCTTTCAAGAAGTAAAACTCCACAAAAAAAAATGGTTATCAAGAAACTGACCATTGGATGTGAAGACCATTAACAACAATGCTCTAAAATTTAAGCAAAAACATAGCAAGATTCACCAGATCGTCGCCGGTATAAACTACTGTGGTTACCTCTTTCTCACTTTTGCAGTTTTTGTTGCTGTGAACAATATCCACGTTTTTTACTGTTCATCTACTAAAAAAAAAAAAAAAAAAAACCTGTGCCATTTTTCTCTTTTATTTTTGGGCTTTAGGATTTTGGGCCATCCTCCACATGAGAAAACCCAAGCCCAACATGCTCTATTTAGACAAGAAAATTTATTTCCCTCTTTCTTTTTTAGCTAGCGGGAGTACTAAAATCTGTTCTCAAGTCAAAGGCTTTACCTCGTAATGCTGCAGGTCACTTGAATCTAGTAAAGTCAATTATCTTAAGCGCGTTTTAAATGAATTGTTTATACCATTTGCCTCCCCTGAGTGAACCTTAATTCGAATCCCCAGAATCTCTCTAACCATTTCTCAAAATTTTAAGCATATTTCTAATGATTTCCCTCGCAGTTTTCCATTAAGGTGTTTAATTATTTGGTATTTGAAGATATCGATATGAAGAAATCCTAGCCTCAGTATTTGATAAACCAAGCTAGAGCTGCAGAAATCAAAAGTTTGTCTCTTCTACCGGGCTCTACATTCTTGATGATGTAAGTGATTGTGTTAAAACTTGCCACTCTAGTTGTTAGAATAATTTTTTCTTTGCAAGAAGCTCTGACCCAGTTGAAGAAGGATAAATCTTGTGGCTATCCCTTCATTGAGTTATTTGAATGTGATAATTAACTTCAATGGCTTCTTCTACTATGATGGATGCATATGTACAGAGTGATTAACAAATCCTTAAAATATATTTATTGTTCTCTTTCCTTCAGGTCTCAAGAATTGAATTTAGAGGAAGGCATAACAAGGCAATTTTCCCGAGCCGTTTCCAGAAATTTTCAAAGAGGTACAAAATCTACTATTGAAATTAAGGGGGTTAGGAGCATTAGAGAACTGCCACAATCTTGTTATCACTTACTGGCTGAGGGCTTGCTGTATGCGAAGAAAACCCTTGATCCACGCAAGCCAATTGGGTTCTGGGTTTCTCTTATCTCGTGTGTAATTGCAATCTCTGTGGATCCTTTATTCTTCTACGTCACTGTCCTCGATACTCGAGAGAAGTGCCTTGGGTTTGATAGAAAGTTGCGCATTTCGGCTATTGTGCTCTACGCATTCTTCGGTTTCTTTTATATGACCTATGTTAACTTTCTGCTGCCTACTTCTTTAATAAAAAATAAAGCTAAACCTTACTTATTACGCTTCTCCATAATTGACTTTCTTGTCCTTTTCCCAATCCCACTGGTAAGGCAGACTCTTAATTAGTTTTTCTCACAATTAATTTTCAGTAATTACATTCCCTATTAGACTAACATCAAGTGGTTATAATTATAAGTTGATAGCACTTGCAGACACTTAAGTTTGTTGTACTCTGTCCAGGTGCTACTCACTTTAGTTATCGAGATTACAAAAATGAGAGTCGAGATATTCTTGTTTCCAATAAGCGTATTCCTATTCCAGTATTTGCTGAGGGTTATTCGTGTCTCAGTATTGTTTACTGAAGCTATCAAGACTTCAGGCATTCTTGCCGAAGCTAAATGGACCAAAGCTGCCTTCAACCTTCTTCTGTACTTGCAAGGTGGTCATGTAAGTTAAATTAAGTTACCTTTTACATTAATTGTCGACTTACTTTATGTCAAAGTATGATTATTTCTATCTTAGATTTTTCACTAGGCATCTGGACAATTTGTTAGCATTCCACCTGGAGAGTTCTATAATTCTAATATGCTTTGAGTCATGGCAATCTAAGACTTCACCACGCTTTTATTCACAGATCATCTCTCATGAATTGAACTCAACAATAGGCCTGAGCCTAGGATATTATTAATATTTTGCATAGCCTAAGTAGTATTTTTTTCCTCAATTGTGCGTATCTTTCTGATAACAAGTGGCTTGCTGGTCCTCAATAGGTGTTTGGAGGGTTATGGTACTTTTTTGCTATCGAAAGAGAGGTTGTATATTGGAAGGCAGCTTGCCGTCCTGACACTGGATATGTTAATGGTTCTGTTTCTTTTTACTGTGATGATAGATTCCTATACAACGAATTTCAAAATGTGTCTTGTACTACACCAGATTCAACAGTCTTTGATTTCGGAATATTTGATGATGCTCTTCAGTCTGGTATTGTAGAAAGGAAATTTTTTCTAATGAAGTTATTCTATTGTCTAAGATGGGGGGTGCAAACTCTCAGGTTTGTTTTTTATAATAAACAGCAACATTTACTATTCCTTAGGCCTATGTAGATAAGTTGCTGAACTAATAAGCAAATCATTGTGTCTTGTGTATGCTTTGAGTTTTTGATCTTTCTCGTGTTGTCCAAATCATTCACAATACGATTTCTTGCAGTTGTTTTGGTCAAAACCTCAAACCAAGTACCTTTGTTCCAGAAAATTTCTTGGTGATATGCATTACCATCTATGCTGTGGTAGTTTTTGTCTTTTTAGTTGGAAATATGCAGGTTAGTGTATTATTTTCTTGCTCAATTTATCTTACAATGCTTACGATGAAGTGTTTATATGAATAATGCTTCTTATAAAACAGACATATCTGCAATCTGAAACAATAAGATCAGAGGAGCTGAGATTGCAGGGACGTGAGACAGAGCAGTGGATGTCCTTTTGGAATCTCTCCGAAAAACTCCAAAAGGAGGCCAAGAAATTTCAGCCTTACAAAGGGCTAGAAACCAAAATTGTTCATGCTGAAGATTTGCTCAATAAGTTTCCCAGGGACCTACAAAAGAACATAAAGTGCGAACTCTGCTTAGAATTGCTGAGAAAAGTGAGTTCTTTTTTTTTTTTTTTTTTTTTTTTTTTTTTTTTCTCTTTTGATTATGGAGAATCACAATAATCAACATTTTAGATTATATTTATTTTTGTATCTTCACCATCTCATGTCACCAAAATTCTAGGGAGATAGTTGATATTTAACTAATTAGTATTTCATAGGTAACTTAAAAGAAATAAACCGACAGTAGTCTAGAAATTGAACTTCATTCTCAGTATTTGTTCATGAGATTAGTGGCAATTACAAGTTGCAATTGTCTACCTTTTAATTTCATTCACACTTTTGATTGCTGGATATTGGATCAATTTTCATTGTTATATTGTTTGTATAACAAGGTAGGAGAGTTTGGAAAGTTGAGTGAATCAGCATTGGAGGACTTGTGTGATCGTTTAAAGCCAGTTAGCTTTAATAAGCATACTCGCATTGCTCGAGAAGGAGATCCAGTTGATGAGATGCTCATTATTGTGCAAGGCAAGCTCCGGACCTACACTTCCAGGGATATAACAACAGGCTTTCCAACCACTGATCGCAACAATCGCAAAAATATTTTGTTGAAAGATGGTGACGTATGTGGAAAAGAACTTGTCACTTGGGTTCATGCTGACCCATACTCATCCAGCCTCCCAATCTCAACCACAACTATTCTAGCGGTTGAGAACGTTGAAGCTTTCACTGTCATGGTCGAAGATTTGCAAAATGTATTTGCAAAAGAACAAGCAGTACATTTCATACAATCATTTTGGCGTTTTAAAAGGGTCTTACGTTCTAGGAAGAACATACGAACATCTACCTGAGGAGTGAACACCAACAACACAGTCTCAGCCGCGGAGTGGTTCATGATACCATTTCTGAAGAACATGAACATAACAGATAAGTTGTTAGATAGATAAATAGCAATAATAAAGATTCGTGTCATGGCCTTTTTTCTTTTTTTCTCTTTATTTATTGAGTTGCACTGATGATCTAAGCTCTCTATAATGATGCGCAGAGTTCTCATTTCTTTTTGCTGGAGTATTTCAGATACTTTCTGGGCTGGATTAACTCATATGAATTTTATTTAGCGGTTTCATATCATCACTATCTGCTCAAGCTCTATTATTTTAATTTTATTTTTAGTAATTAATGGGTAAAAGAGAATCTAAATCTATTACCAATCTAATGTACTTTGATGTGTCCTACAATAACAAGTTCTATACAGCCAGGGGAGGTAACTGGTAAACGATGATTTTATGAATTGTGAGGGCAAGACCCTAAGATTTCACTGCTGATTTTATGAAATGTGAGTCGAAGTCTCTTTTGTTTTTTGAGTCAACAGTTCACTTGGACAGACTCCTTAGGTTATTTTATTGAAGATTTTCTACCTATTATCTGCTATGCTGTAAACCTCCTTCAGGAACTGAATTTCCACGTTATTTCATTGAAGGAATATTAAATGCTCTGTAACTTTCTTTGTCAGTTCTTAGAAAGTGTTTAGGTATAATATTAATATAATAATACACGTAAAGTATTTTTATACAATATTTTATATATAATATAAATGGTAAAAGATGATTGATTGATATTAAATTAAAAATAAATTTTTATCAAATCATCTTTTATTAGATTATATTGTATAAAAATATAATATTTGTAATATTACTTATAATATTATCATCTGGGAGAACTCTTATTTATTTAAATGGAATTAAATATTAAATTAAATTAATTTATGATACCAACCCTAATCTAAAAAAAAAAGACTTCTTATTAAAAAAAAAAAAAAAAAGGTAATTCTGAGTTTAAAACCAAAAAAAAAAAAAGAGACTGTCGATATGTAGATGTACTTGCAATTAATCAGTCCTATGGTGGTTAAAACTTGGGCCAGACTGTCCAGACAGATGACAAGAAAAAATTACTGAAAGGACCTTTTTTTCGTGTATATTACAGTTGACCCATTCTTAATTGGTCAGTTCAATATGACCTTTCATTCATTTGTTTTTTATTTTGTCCTCCATTACTTTCATACTTTCACTCCAACGGCTACAGGAGTGCTTGGGACTTGAGAGCTCCGCTAGAGTGTTAGAAATTGAATATTAAAATTTCTTTAAATTAACAAAAAAAATTAACTAATTATATTTTATAAAAAATAAGAACTAATATAAAAAAATTTAAAAGAGGAATAATAAATGTATATAAGAGTTACTTTAATTTTATAAAAATAAGAAGAACAATGCTATATTTATAAGTGAGTCATACAACTATACAAAAAATAAAATATAAAATAGTTATTTTACATAAATTTTGTGTAATTTTTATCTGGTTGTATGGTACTATAATTCAGTTATAAACAAAATATTACTTAAATAAGGAATAAAAATATATATTAAAAACTTTTTTACTCTAATGCTCTAATGTTAGAGTGACTCCAATCTCAGACTAGTTTTTTCTTTGTTGCTAGAGTGAAGAGGGTCAAAATGGAAAACAAATTCGATCGAAGATCCTATCTACCAAACCAATTAAGAATCAAATACCAAACAAGAAGCAAAAGAATCATTACGTTGCAGTACTTTGGATTATACATTATAGGAAAGACATGCAGCAAGAGATGGAGAACAATATCCAGAGTCCCCAACTTCTTGTCCAATCCAAAAAACTTTTTATCGAAATTTCCTGTATTATCATGTTGAGATTTCTATGTAATCTCTTAATTTTGTCAGTTTTAAGATACTAATAATATTTTTTATATCATGTAATCTCTTAATTATGTCAGTGTATTGTAATTAACGTAATTATCAGATTCTTTAGATTGTATCTCCCCTATACAAAGCCGGTAACTATTAGTGTAAAAATCAATGAAGTGAAATATTGGATATTTCACTTCATTAATTTTTACACTAATAGTTACCGGCTTTTTTCACGTGGTATCAAAGCCAGGTTCTGATCCAAAAAATTGCTCATTGTAGTAGAGCATCCGTCGGAAAATTGACCTATGAGTAACCATCCATTCGGTTGTCGTCAATCCAAGAAAAAGAAAACGACTACCATCAAACAACCCAAACCCCAACCATCTGTAGCTCCTACAAACAACAAAAAATTTCAAACAATTCTAACCAATCGAAAGAAAAATACCTAGAAGAAGCCAACGCCAACACCAACACCAACACCGAGAAGTCCAACCACCAAGCCGATCTGCTGCTACCCTTTGACACTGATTAGCAGCTCCTGTCATCACTCAAGTCAAGTAAATCGCCAAACTTCCCAGAAACTGACCACTGGAAGTCCGAATTGTCACAGACACGCCGAAATACCGAGCCGACACGTCCAAATCTTGTGTTGTCATCGCCGGAGAAGAAGCCCAGAGCATTAATCAATTGCTACCATCGCCGGAGAAGAACCTCACCACATCCATTGCTGCCACCATCTTCCAATCGCTGATCCAATGTGTGGCCGCCACCATCCTTTAAGCCAAGAAGATTTTTTTTTTTTTTTTTTTTTTGTTTATAACTTATTGTTTTTTAGTTTAAAGGCTTTAAAGGTTAAAAAAAAAAAAAAAAAAAAAAAAAAAAAAAAAAAAAAAAAAAAAAGAAAGAAAGGTCAAAGAAAAAAAAAAAAGATGTGTAGAGAAATTTATTGCAAAAGTTGCTCCAGATTTCGCTGAAACTTTAGGAATAGAAGCTCAGAATGAGAGTCATGATGCACAGATGAAATCGGCAAGCCCAACAACAAGAAGAGAAGGTCTATGGTGCTATTTGGAAAAGAAGAAGATGCTAAACAATCTTCATTATTTGTAGCCACTGCTTGAAATGATGGTAAGTCTTTACATATGGGTACATCTTTTCTAATAGTGCATGAATAATTGATTTGTGTAATGATCATATGAGATTTGATTATAGCATGGTTCTAATCTTAAGTCATCCTCACAAAACTTTGTTTTCTATAGTCAATGGTGAATCTAACCGAGTCTTTGGGAAAGGACCATTAACCCTTAATGTCTAGTCTTTTATACTTATTTGTTGCCTAAATTTACTCATTGTTATTCATTTTGATTTAGGATGCAAATGGAGGCGTGAAATGCATAACAAACTAAGTAGGTGAATGGATAGTTTCAACATTGCTTCGTAATCTGGGCATAACTCTCTCATCCGAGCTCTGATTGAGATGATTCAAAATGTGTAGAACCCTAAGAAAGAGATCTACAACTTTATGTTTTGTGTTTGGAGAGATACTTGCTGCATCAAGGTGTAATCCGGCTTGAAATTGACGAACCTGTACAACTGACCTTTGGAACATTCTGCATTATCATGCAATTCAAATAGGCAGTTTATTATTGGAAGATTTGAAGACCTGTTGCACACAAGTTACAGCTGACACACCACTTTGCTATATTATTTTAGGACTTTATTTATTTTGCAATTAAGAAGAATCAGATAAGGATAATGTTATTTAGGATATTGAATATTTTAGGAGATAGTAGAATTCAAATACTTGAATTGGATTTTTATTAAAGGGGGAGACTAGACTAGTATGGGGGACTCTCTTTCCTCTCTTCTATAATTTTCTTTTGGAGTTTTGATTATGGCCATGGGTGGCTAAAACTTTTATAACTGGTTGAAGGAAACGAAGGCCTTGGAATCAATAAACTGTGAGATCTAACTGTTTTATTTTAGTGTTCAATTTTGTTTTGAGTATTGAATGTTTCTTCTATGTCTATTTTATGTTGTTTCATTTAATTACCAGGAGGTTAATAGTGTATTATTGTTGCAATCTACTGCTAAGTTGATATCAAATCCGTAATTGTTGATCCCTCCAACTTGTGAGTAATTAGGGTTTAAGAATTTGCGCATCAGGAATTATTAAATCTTAAGAAGAACATTCAACTAAATTAATACAATCGCTTGTGTTGTGTTGTTCAGCTTCATCGATTTCTCTAGCCCTTAAGGTGCCACTAGATTAAACCTTTAGCACTTGTCTAGGGTTGCTATTAGTAAGATTAATTAGATACTTGTTCCTAATTAATTACAACTAAGGAGAGATAGGAAAATAGTTCCAACGGTGAATACTCAAGGTATGAATTGAATATTTGCATCAATGATCAGTTGGAAGATTCCGATGGTGGTGTGACTAGACCAAGTTTCGTTATTTGATTGATTTTGATTTATTTAACTTGAATTGTTTTTCCTGAAAGTGTTTCGTTTTACTCAAACACCCACGCCCCCCCCCCCCCCCCCCCCCCCTTGCGAGGCTTGTTCACGTAACATAAAACTCGGTTAGACACTCTCCGTGGGAACGATCCTTACTCACGCTACTACATGTGTTTTTAGGTTTTAATCTTGGTTGCCTAAGACAGCACACCACAAAGCCTTATCTTGTGTGGTTATTTTTTGGCTTGAATTTTGTGAGTTTAAGAGCATTCAAACAAAACAGACTATTTGTTGTGGTATTAGATGGGGGCAATTGTATTACTTAGATTTAGAGTAAAAAAACTTTTCCATGTTACAGCAAGCTTTGACAATAGATTACTCTAAAAGGGATAAACAAAAATCTAACATCTGATTATGGCATCGGTGCCTTGAACATGCTTCGTTCAGTTATCTGAAGAAATTTTTTCTAAGTTTATTTGAAAAAATGATATCAGTAACTTCCACTATGATGTTTGTGAATTATAAAAAAGTCATCGAGTCCCACAATAACATTAAAGAAAAGTCCAAGTCCTTTTATGCTTATACACTCAGATGTTTGGGGGCCATCACAAGTTACTACTTTAGGTGGATCCTGTTGGTTTATTACTTTTATTGATGACTGTACAAGGATGACTTGGGTATGTTTAATGAAATCCAAAGGGGAGGTTAATTTTCTCTTTCAGAGATTTCACAAAATGGTTCACACGCAATATAATGCACAGATTTAGGTCCTTCAAGTGATAATGGAGGAGAATATCAAAGTTCAAATCTTCAACAGTACTTGGCAACACATGGTATCATTCATCAGACTAGTTATCCTAACACACCCCAACAAAATTGTGTTGTTGAGCAAAAAAATCAGCACTTATTGGAAGTCGTTCATGCCTCACTAATATAAGCTCACATGTCGTTATCTTTTTGGGGAGAAGCACTTACTTTTGTAGCCTACCTAATCAATCGGGTACCCTCTAGTTCTATTGGGTTCCAAACACCTTTTTAGGCTCTTGGTAAAGCAATGAATGCTCCAACGGTCCCAAACTTACCACCTCAGGTTTTTGGTTGTATCGCCTTTGTTCACCTCCATAAACATCAACGCAACAAGTTGTCCCCTTGTGTATTGAAATGTGTTCTTGTTGGGTATGGTGTTCATCAAAAAGGGTGTCGATGTTATCATCCTCCAACTCAACAAACGTTTGTGACGATTGATGTTATTTTCCATGAAGAATTGATGTATTTTTCCTC